AACACTGCTGGTCATTTTAGAAGGCACATTCAGCTCATGTACTTATCTATTTTTGTAGGTCAAAATGAAAGCAATTTCAGGGACTATAACAGAAATTTCCTTTCCTTCATCAATTTAAAAAGTGAAGTATTGTGATGAGTGATGTGAAGTGCCATCCTTTTGCTCTAGGTTCACTTGGAGCAAGTCTACATTAGAAACTTGAAGGCCCATAGGGATGTAATTTTTTGATACCACTTCGCTGGCAAAATGGCCACCTGTAATTGCAGTTTTATGTGTTTACAATGCTTTTTCCAGTACCATTTCTCCAGTACTCATCAAATCCATACATTCTCTCTCTCTTTCTTGTCTCTCTACTTATAGAAGGACTGGTGGACACCTGAGCTGAAGAGTTGATCAGCTATATAAGAAACAGATCATAAGAAAGAATAGTAAATGCTGTTCTGACCGGTGGTAATGAAAAGGCTAAATCAACACTAATGGAATTCCCATCAACCCTTGGCCCAAAGCAGCGTATCACTAGGAGAAGAAATGATCTTCTGAAGGGTTTCTCTGACCCTACCACAGGATATGAGATAGAAGAAAAAAAGCATTGTTGTAAATCCAATTGTACTATACCTCTGAATAGCAGGTATAGTACATAGATTTTCTAGCAGTTTTACCACCTCATGGTACCTGGAGACCACATTTAGAGCTGTGAGGAGGAATTTGTCACTACAGACTGTCCGCAACCCCAGTTAGTAATGTTACAGTTGGGTGAAAAGTAAATTGCATGGTAATAAACAAGGAAAGAAGGTATGGCAGTTGAAACCACAAGGACACTGTAACAACTCACTTTCAGATTCTGTTTTTATACACCTTTAAAACATCATTTCCAGGGTGTTCTTTTTTTTATTACTTTATATTAAAAATAATTCTTGACTGACAAAGAAAAATCTAATAATGGAACCATATAATCATTTTAGTTGGAAGAGACCTCTAAGATCATCAAGTCTAACTGTAAACCTAGCACTTCCAAGTTACCACTAAACCATGTCCCTCAGCACAACATCTACCCATCTTTTAAATACCTCCAGGGATGGTGCCTCAACCACTTCCCTGGGCAGACTGTTCCAATGCTTGACAACCCTTTCAGTGAAGAAATTTTTCCTAATATCCAAACTAAACGTCCTCTGGTGCAACATGAGGCTGTTTCCTCTTGTCCTATTGCCTGGCATTTGGGAGAAGAGACTGACCCCATCTCACTACAACCTCCTTTCAGTTAGTTTTAGAGAGTGGTAAGGTCTCCCCTAAGCTCCTGTTGTCCAGGCTAAACAATCCCAGTTCCCTCAGCCACTCATCATCAGACTTGTGTTCTAGACCCCCCACCAGCTTCGTTGCCCTCCTCTGGACATGCTCCAGTACCTCAACATCCCTCCTGTAGTGAGGAACCCAAAACTGAACATAATATTTGAGGTGTGGTGTCACCAGTGCCAAGTACAGGGGAATGATCACTTCTGTAGTCCTGGTGGACACACTATTTGTGGCCAGGATGCTGCTGACCTTATGGCCACCTGGGCACACTGCAGGCTCATATTCAGCCAGCTGTTGACCCCCAAGTGCCTTTCCACTGAGAACTCTCCAGCCACTCTTCCCCAAGCTTGTAACACTGCATGGGGTTGTTGTGACCCAAGTGTAGAAACTGGCACATGGCCTTGTTGAACCCAATACCACTGGCTTCAGCCCATCAATCCAGCCTGTCCAGATCCTTCTGTAGAGCCTTCCTATCCTCAAGCAGAAAAACACTCCGGCCCAACTTGGTGTCATCTGCAATCTTAGTGAGGGTGCACTCACGTAGCTGATTATACTGATGAAACACTGAAATTGGTTCCACACAAAATGCTGTCAAGTCATAAAAATAAACCAACATGGAATTTAAGAAAAAAATGTTTTCAGAAGTACATTTTTCAATTTTACCATATTCCTTCTACGAATTAAAGTGCACTGTTCTTATACTGCCTATAATCTCTGATATCACTGTGTATATTCCACTAGAATATGAAAGTATAAAATGTATAAATGATAGATGTCACAATAGTATTTGTTTTCATATTTCAAGTATATTAGGAAACATGACTTCCTTTCTTATTCATGCCTTTTCCTCTTAAGACATAAACAGCTGCATACTGAAATCTCCCAGCGATTTTCCACTTTCAGTTCAGGACAGATATCAGGATCAAACCATGTTTTTCAACAGTTTTCTTAATTGCATCCAAAGAAATTCAAGAAAACATTGTAATAATAGTTTGAATGGTGTCATTTTAGCTTTAAAAGTGTGATGGGAACAATCACACACACCTGTCTTAGCTGCAGGAATAGAAAAAATAATTGTAGAAAACAACACCTCCAGAGAGCTTCATCAAAGAAATTGCAGGCAGAAACCAGGCCTGCAATCACTTTTAGCCCTGCCTTGACAGATGACGTTGGATCCCAGTCCCAGCAGTGACATTTCTTAACTGCTCAGACCTTGAAAACAAGCGTTAGAACTGCTGTGATTCAAGTGTTCATCTATGAAATGACTCTTTTCCTAGAACACCTTCGTGCTTGCACTGCTACTTTGCAGATTACTTACAAATGCCCTGCCTGGCTGGATGATGATGTTTCCTATGCATCATGCCTTTCACTATCCTCATTCTAAGAGATATGCTATCTCACATGATAAAGGCTAAGCTGCAGTGTTCAGATGAAATAAAGTATCTCCTTGTTTGAAAGATGCTGCCAGTTCTGCACAAACACAGTGGAAACTGTCAAAACACAATCTAGGTGCCAGAGCAAAGCTACAAAACACTTACTAAAATCCTTTAAAAGGCTGGAAACACATGATTCATGAGACAGTTGAAGAATTTTACTTCCATAAGTGCAAGGCAGAGACTTGAATATGCTTTTACATTTATAAGAGGTTTATATTTAGCAAATGAAATTAACTTTCATTTCCTCATCATTCAACTAATTCAGTCCTACATTATGAATTTTACTGTGTGTTAGGAAAGGATTGGGTTGATATAAGGGCTTTGTCTGCTTTGGGGAATTTATTGTCTCTCAGTTGCACTGATCAGCTTTCCCACACAAACTCACAGATCTTATATTACGGTCCATTTCAGGTACATCTCGAGTCCCACTTCTGAAAAATAAAAAAATAAATGAAAAATCCCTCGAACTATGAATAAACTCTCCTTGCTCAGTTTTAAAATGAAACTTTGTTTTGCAGGATCTGTTTTTGCAGGATTGGATTTTAATAGGATTTTGCCTCTTCTTACTCTTTAATTGGATATATATCTCATTTCTGACACTTCATCAGGGGTGAAAACATATTTGCCAGTGAGATTCACTTTATACCATTTTTATACTTGTTCAATATTTAATCTTTGTGCAATTAACATCTAATTGTTGCTGACATTTACTTGCAATTTCTAAATATCCCTTTTGTTAAAGACCTAGCAGGATAGGGCAGCGACATTCAGACCACGCACCCCACACACCCTCACTTCAGGACCCCACAGTTGTCACTGGGGGGAAGGTAGTGTTCTGAGTAACTGTGCCATCAGAGTGATCACTTCTGCCCTTTATGCACGCAGCCTATACAGGCTTCTCCCTTCAGACAGCACAAAAAACAGCAAATGCCAATCATGTGCCTGTTCTGCTGGACCTATACATGATGTTAGATAAATGTAAAAAAACCCAACCCATAGAATTGTAGGATGGTTTAGGTTGGAAGGGACCTGAAAGATCATGCAGTTCCAATGCCTCTGCCATGGGCAGGGACACCTCCCACTACACCAGGTTGCTCAAGGCCCCATCCAGCCTGGTCTTGATGCCCCCAAACTGATGAATTATCTTATTTTACATGTTTAATTTTCCTACTAACTAAATTCTGCTGGTTGCAGCTGCTGTGTCATGTTGCAAATGAAGAGTCGAACCACCAGAGAAAGGAATCTTCTCCCTGCCCCATGCTCCCTTCAGCCTGTGGGAGGTACTTGCCAAGCACTTGCTTGTGACAGTTATTTCAATGTAGCCAGAACACTCTGGAGAAGAATGAAAATTTTTGGGTACCCTTTGGGCACACAGTTCTCTCAGAGAAGCAGGGGAAGTTCATTATATGGAAAATGTATTATTCTGTCCTCTGCTCTCACCAGATATTCAAGTCCCAGTCCTCTTTGGTGCTCTCAGCATTATCACACGTTAACTCTTCCATGTATTTATTTATGGCGTTCCTCCTCACACTGATATTGCACTCTGTCGCTTGCCCTGCTGCCTGGGTGTGGAGACAGCCTTAGCTCTTGGTTTGGAAGCCAGCCCAAAGGACAGCGTGATGAAGCTCTGTGATGGTCAGGGACCCAGTGTTGGCACATCAGCACAACTGGCGCGTGGCAGTTTGGAGGCTGAGTTGAAGGGGCTTGCCTGTAGGTTTACAGTCAAAGTGACCTCCCAGCAACGATTATCTTTGAAACATATTCTGGGTTTTACCACGGACAAGCTGTGCTCAAGAGAACTCATGTGTCTTGTCTCCTGAGTTATTGCCACGGGAAGGAGCTTTCAGCCCGCAGGGTGGGGAGAATTCCTCCCTTCCCTCCAACACGGGAAGGCACCATGTATGACGAGACTCCCGAAGGCCGGGAGAAAAGCCCAAGACACCAGCAGGCTCCCAGCAGGGCCGCGTGCAGCACCGCAAGGCTCTCAGGCCCCAAAGCGGCGGGTGTTTGTGGTGGCCCTGGAACTCGGATGGACTCAGCTGATGCTGTGGCGAGCGGTGGGGCGATCCTGAGGCCATGGCTGGGTCTCGTAGAGCCAGCCCTCACTGCAGGGTCGCTACCACAGGGGAAGCAGCTCCCACCGCGCCCGCCACAACACAAGGCCCCGCGCGCCACCGCCCACCGCCTCGCGTCACGTTACGTTGCATCACGTGACATCACCGGGCACCCGCCCTTCGCCCCACGCATGGGCCCTGCCCCTTCCGTCGGGCCCGGGTAACCCCAGCCTCTCGGGGCGCGGGCGCTCGTGGCAGCCGGAAGTGGCGGCCGGCTGGGGCTGGGGGGCGGAGCCGCCGGCCGCGTGGGGCAGCTGAGGCGCGTGGGGCAGCTGAGGCGCGTGGGGCAGCTGAGGCGCGTGCCGCCGGGTGCCGAGATGGAGGTGGTGGCGCAGATGGAGGCCCTGGCCTTTGAGCCCGGCACGGCGCCGGCCGCTGAGGGGGCGCCGGGCGAGGAGGGGGCGCCGGCCGCTGAGATGGAGCCGGCCGCTGAGGGGGCGCCCGGCGAGGAGCAAGCGGCGAGCGAGGAGGGGGCGCCGGCCGCTGAGATGGAGCCGGCCGCTGAGGGGGCGCCCGGCGAGGAGGGGGCGCCGAGCGAGGAGGGGGCGCCGGCCGCTGAGATGGCGCCGGCCGCTGAGGGGGCGCCCGGCGAGGAGCAAGCGGCGAGCACGGAGGGGCCGCCAAGCTCTGCGGGCCCCCCGGAGGGCGGTGGAGAAGTTCAGGCCCCGCCGCCCCGAGCCGAGGGAGTGCGCAGCCCGCCGCCGCCTGCCAGTCCCAGCGGTCCTCCTGCTGCCGCCCCCTCCTCAGACTCGGACAGGTGGGTGCAGCCCTGGCGGCCACGGGGCTGGGCCACGGGGCGAGGGGGGCGCGTCACTCTCCGTGGGTCGCTCTTCCCCCTCTGCGGCCTCTTGCGCGGCGGCGAGTGTGGGCCCGGGCCGCCTGCTCTGTGTCTCAGTTCTCTGCCGGCCGGGTGTCCCAGTCCGCCCCCATCCCCGTGCCCCTGTGTTTCAGCTTCTGTAGCTTTCTCTTTCCCATTAAAGATGACATTTTCTCTTGCATTTCACTAGAAGTTTTACTGTTGAATTAATAAGCCTCCAAAAGAATGAATATAAGGGTATAGGATTTAATGGAAACACGAGGTTTTGGGTGGTGACCTGTAGAGCATCATGATTATTTGGACTACCATGACTGCTTGAGCATGGTGTTTGGCATGATCCTCACAGGGTGCGCCTACATCACTTGTGACAGGACACCTGCACTGTTATTGCTGAAAAAAACTGAATGTAGGATTCAAGGTAAAGACTCTGTAGATCTTAACTTGTGCTCTACTGTTAGCATCTAGGTGGAAGAGCTCATTCTCAACCTGTATGGTTTTTTTATACAAGGTTCCATCTTCTACTGCATCAGTGCTTTGATGTTCAGTGTAGTTGGTGGAAGGTAGGTTTGGTTAGATGTGGGCTCTGTTTCAGCCTTAGAAGCCTGCACACTTTGTCAGTTTCCATAAGTTTTGTGTTTTCTTTTTGGGCGGTTGCAGCTGGATGAGTATGTTGTTCTAACTAGTGAAGGCTGAAATGAAGTGTAAGGATCTCCTCTTAAAAAGAAGATACTGAGCTTTATTAACAGTTAATGGGTTAAAGCTTGACTTTGGAAATACTTTGTTTGCTCGGTTCAAAGTTTTCCTAAAAAATCATGAAGTGATGGAGAGCGAAATTCCTGACCTATGGCAGGGACTTCACCTGTAGTCATTTTTGCTTCCAAAGTCTCTTTTGTTCTGATGTCCAGATAAATATTGAAGACAAAATTCTGGTAACTTTAATTTACTTAGCTGACTATATGTATCTCAAACATTTTTCTTTCTTTTTTCTTTTCCCCCCTCCTTTTTCTAATTGGTCTCTGGTGGTCTGGCTGATTTTTGTCTTTCTGCTATGTTGATTTTGTTCTAAGAATTCCTTATTTTTCAAAAGGTTTATTTGGAGAGGTGCACTCCAATTACTCCACATGTTTGTTTCTTCCACCAGTTCTGAAGAACTTAGACTTCTGCTAAACGGAACGTGATGACATGAATAAGGACTGGTTTCTTACCGTGCTCTTTACTTGAAATATTGAGTCTATGAGAATAAACATCTCTTATGCATGTGCTAGTGATAAAAATTAAATTACTAATCTGTGTGAATAATGCACTAGAGGAATTCAAACAGGCCATGAATTATGGAACTAATCTATTCTACCTGCAAAAATTAGAATTTTTTTTTTTTTTTACCATCATAATGCAAGATGCTTGGAATAAGTATTTTCTTGATTTTTCACTTAGCTTTATGCTGTATCTATCTAGGTGCTATACTGAGATGCTCTTCCTGTGACTCTAATATTGGTTGATTTCTCTTGCAAACCAATGAAGTGTAGGTCCCAAACTGTGACTGTCACTTGTCCGACAGGGGGAGTTGTGCTGGTGATGGACTTGTGCATGGGTTAGCCAGAGGGAGAACTGGACTGGGTGAACTTAAAGAGGTGATTGCTGTCATGCCACATTCACCATTCAGCAGTGACACAGTGGGAACCCAAGCGAGCCATTGTAGTTGTTAGCATTTGCTCTGAACAGCCAAAGCTGCTACTATTTTGAGATTTTTTTTTTTTAAAGTGATCTTGTCCAGTGGCTTGTAGGTTCAGAAAAGATTGCTGCTTTTCTATATACAGATGTATATGATTAGGAAAAACATATCTGGTAACCAGAGGTATTTTAGTATCCAGTTTTTTAATCTGTAATGTGGAATTCTGTACTCTAACTCCCATGTCTATTTTTATTTTCAGTGATACGGATTCAGATAGTTCATCAACTACGTCCTCCTCTTCATGTTCTCCTTCAACAATATCTGATGAAGATGATCATCCAAATGAGAAGGATAACAGATCTTACTGTGTTAAAACAAAAGACGAGTTGCCTATTGATGTAAGTACCATGTGTTACCTTTTAAACCTTTTTCTAGTAACCCAACTTAAAATATTTTAACATATTTTTAAGTGATTGCTGTACCTAGTGAATGTACTTGAATATGTATATACTTTGAATATATATACTTGAATATGTACATACTTGAATGTATGTTTTTGCACTAGTTGAGGTGTAGCTCAGTTAATAACTTAAAATGTCTTATTTTCCGGTATGCTAAGACCACTCTGAAGTGAGGGTCACAGCTTATTTTAGGTTGATATTTGTGTAAAATCACAGTTGCAATTAATGAAAACAAAATTCTAGATGAAATTCTGGGTATTTTCATATATTTTGGGGGTTTTTGTGTATTGCAGGCTTTCATCATCCTTTCTCTATGTGAGAGACTTGAAGGTCTGATATGTCTTGCAGTCATACTTCAAATATGTTTAGTCTTGAGGTGAAAATTCCAGATGTTGTATTAAGCCTTCTGGAGGTTCAGATTGCATTTCCTCTACTTAAGAAAAATTATTAGAGTGGTCATAGAGGTGACTTCTATTTGTTTTATTCTGCAATTTTTGTTACGACACTGTTTTATGTATCGCGGATCAGCACCTTAATTTGCTTCAAGATACAGTCTTTCGGTTTTGGTTCTCGTAAATGATGTACTCGTTAAGTATTGCTACCATTATTCCTCATTATCTCAAGATTAAGAGGTTTAAAGGAATGAGTTTTAGTAATAATCTGCTAATGGATGATTAGCCATACATCATTTGTAATGGATTACAAATAAAAGGATAATCTAACACTGTAACGTCAATTTACACTAACAGTACATGTTTATCTGTTACTTTGTAGATCTGTTCCCTTCATAAAAATGCTTTCTGGAATGAGAAACAAGCCCAATGAAGGGTACAAGAAATTATTAGAAAGGCAGAGAGGGGGGAAAAAAGCCTCTGAAGAACAGATATATTTGGATATGTTTACCTTTGCTTCAGTGCTCTGTAAGAGTTTGTAATGAAGTGATAGATGACTGGAAAGGCTGAGGCATTGACACGTGTTAGTAGTAGCAACAACAGGAAACAGGAGTATGTTAATTCTTAAACTGGTGCTCTATGTAGGCACTTGGAGTAAAGAAAACCTATTAGCATATTCGTTTATCCCTGAAATTAATCAAAGATTGAGAAACACACATAATGTTGTATTCTGAAGGCGTAAAACATCAGAGCAATTCCTGCTTACATGCACTTTGTTTGAAGTACGATTAATAGTAGAACCATTATAAGTGCTTCTATGACAACAAGCACCGGACTTTTGAACAAAATCCTTGCTCAAATAGATATACTTACCAGGTTTTATTTACCTTTTATCTCATTTATTTAAGTAAAATTAAAGGTAGTCTGAAAATGCTTTGTTGATCTGCTCTTTTGTCTCATTAGCTTACTAACTTCAAAGTTACACAAAACCCACAAAGTTTACAAAATATCGTCTTCCTTTTAAGCACTGGCATGATTAATTTCGTTGGTTCAGCAAAGTTGTAGCTTTTTGTCAGTGGTAGTTTTAATTTTTAGCAAGTTCTTTTTTTAGTGTATCTTGTACTTGGCTATTCTACAGGAATAGTATTAGTCTGTGTAAAAATGTTGTAGATTGTTTTATGTAAATTTGAGGGAATACAATTTGAAAATTAAAATGTATCTGTTAAAAAGTTCACCAAAATAGCTAACTACTAAAGCATGGGTCAAAGATTAAATGAAAAAAAGAAAGTATTTAACTGGAATATGTGCTTAGGGAAAAAAATGTGCATGTATTAAGGAGTATTAGGGGAACTATTTTAGAAGCCTCCTCCTTTGATGTGTAGGATTGGCAGATATTGTATATAGTATGATAGGTGGTTAGTCTATCATTTTGAGATTTATGATCAAAATCTTAACTTTCTTCCTTCTGCTCTTTGGCCTTTGACTTGCTCTGGCATCCATGATTCAGTTAAGTCTTAGCAGTGAAGTTGGTTTAATGTTGGGAAACTTACTGCCCTGTACAAGTATGTGGGTTTTTATCTGAATTCTCGTCTTGACTTCAATGCTGTAGTATATGATCAGAGAAAGTCTTGGTGTCCCTTTGGTCTTTGACTTGCTCTATGAGCCAGGTGAAGTTTTGATAAGACAGGATAAAATTCTCCTATCAGAGAGGGATTTTATTTCTGGAGATGGCCTTAAAAGTACAGTTCAGTGCTAAGATTTGGTCTCTGCCTCCAAATTCAGATTTTGAATTTGAAGAGGATTCTCACTCTAGTTGCCCTTACCTTGTGTTCCATATCATTCATATTGAACCCACAGTGGTATAGTACATATGTAGAAATCTTAGTTTATGAGTAAGTCTGAGGTAGATGATGAGTTCGGTGTTAATCAGCCTTTGATAGCAGATTTTAATGCTGACAATTGAGAAAAAAGATTTATTTGAATATTGTTTGTGCAGTACTCATTTGTGTATCTGAAGGTTGGCATTTTTTTTCAAGTGTTCTCTATGGTTGTCCTCTTGTGTACCAAATGCAACTTACAACTAAAAATAATTTTCTTTGTATAGGTAGTTGTGATCTTCACATCTTCTATAATGGTCTGAAGTCATGGCATAAACAGACAGACACCATTTTGTCAAATCAGATGATAATGTATCTGGTGTATTTCATACTACTTTATCACTTGCTGTGTACATTTTTCTTCTGTCACGCATTGAATGTGGTTACAAGTTGTCTGTTTTTTTTGATTACTGATTATCTAGTTATTGTGCTGTACTAAGTAAGAACTTAATTTATCTAACTTGAAAGTTCAAAAAAATGAACAAAATATCTATCAGTTGTTGGTTTTCTTCAGTTGAATAAAATTGGCTTCTACTTTAGTTGCAATGGAAATATGTAGTGTCTCAATAGAAAAGATGTCTTCAAAAGTGACATTCCCCAAGATGGGTTCATTTAGAATTATTCTGAAAAGGCAAATCAAAGTAGATGTATTTTTTTTTTTTAATTAAACCTTCAAAATGCTAGGAGGCTTTTCTGATTGTCAAACTTATGCAGCAACAAAGCGATGAATGTCTTAGTGTGATGAGATTATATTCTGAACATTGACTTGTTATTTTCAGGAATTGCCTCCTGTTGAAGACTTAACAATAATTCTGCCTGATGATGTTGAACTGAAGCTCTTTGGGACAGTTTCCAGCATCATTGAGCAGCTAGGTAGGCAAGATATGATTGCTTTGTTTTTAATTAAAATAATTTCTTTGTATCTCTGCGTTTATTTTGTATTTGACTGTTCCTTCAAAGTGTCAGTACTGCAGCGTTCTATTTCAGGGGGTAGGAGGTTGCTGAATGAGAACTTTGACTACCAAATGACACTGAGTTGGATTCCCTTTTAGTTGGCTTGCACATTCTACAGATTAACGTACTACAACTAGTATGCGTGTGTTTCTATGTGACTTTCATGTTCTAATTTTTTAATTAAAAAGCCTTTTTTCACTGTGTATTATGATCTTTATATGAATTCTGGCAACAATAGTATAGTTGCAGTATTTTAAGAAATCTTCCACTTGTATGTGTTATATTTGAATTATCTCTGAAGATACGAGAGGTGTATAACTGAAAGCACAGATGCAGTACGATGCAGTCCGAAGTGCTTGCGTGTTAATATATGAGGACAGTAAAAAGACTTGTTGGGTAATTGGTATATTATTTATGATGTTTGTTCTTTTTTTTTCTATTTTTTTAAATCATCCCACTTACTGGCACCTTGACCAAATACAAGCTGTCAGTGTCAGCAGTCACAGGACAGCATGGCTAACGTGATTTATAGGTGTTGGAGGGTAAGCTTAATGGGATTGAGCCGTACAATGGATGTAACTGCAATGATGTGCATTTAGGGATTCTTTCAGATCTACCAGACGCCTCTGTTTTTGATATGTGAAATCAAAGTTTTGCTGAAGCTAGTATTAATAAAATATCCATATAATGTTTGTATTTAAGCTTATTTCAAGTGTTCTATTCTTCTTGAACTGCTTTCAAAGCAATTTGATTATGAAAATTAGAAATTAAGTCCAGTTTTGAAGGTCAAGTATTTATGTTGAGAGGGGTACAAAAGAATTAGAGCAAATAGCCTTTCCTATTAACTTTTCTTATTTTAAAAGATTCCAGGTAATACAGGCAATTCCTTTACACTGTTTTTGTTGGTGGTGTTTGTTTAGAGGTAGATTTCATTTCATTCATGTGCAGGAAGCGAACTGTGTAGACAGTAGTAATCTAGTCTTTGTCCTTTTGTTCTACTTTGTTCTTTCTTTCCTACTGATAGTAAGGGGGACTTCAAAAAGGCTGTTTGCAGCTAAAATGACAGTTTGAAAATAAATTTAAGAGAAACGTTTGAACGTAGTTTGCAATTATTATTTTTGATGTAGTATGTAAATGTTTAAACAAAGCTGTTTTTAAAGACTTTGGCTTTGAAAACTGTCGTGAATTTCTAATCCTCTTGGTGTATATAACCTTTCTAAATTCTGTCAGTTTACTGACAGGTGAATTCTTGAGTCTGTATTCTACTTTATGTAACTGAAATACATGAAGTGTTGAACTTAGATTGGTTGGTCAAAGTTAGAAAACAGACTAATAACCATACATGAAATAAAGCCATAAGAATGGAACAAAGCCCCAAGATATCTGTGTTATTTACTGTCTTTCTTTATGACTCCTTTATTCTTTATGGTTTCCTTTCTTTTCAGTTCTTCTGGAAACAAGTGTCTGAGTCAATTTCAACTGATTTGTGGCCATATTAGGGACTCTGCTAGCTGATTACGGGTTGTTTTTTGATTTTTGAACTAAATTGATACTGGTGTGTACCAGGTTTAGATCTAGAATAAGGGGAGTTGAGGTCTCATTTGAAAATCACAGATATTATCTTGGCACAACAGTCAGTATCCTGAACTGTGCCTTTGGTGTGCCAGAGATCTCTGCTATTCTCTGTAACGAGCTTCTGAGTTCATCAGTCTGCAGTGTACAATACCCATGAGTTGGCAATTCCATACTATGAGGTGAATTTAAGGCTAGAACAGTATAGGTTCATGCTTGCTTCACACCAGCAAAAAGCAAGATGACAGTACTTTCTGTGAACTTTAACTTCTATTCAGTGTATCAGAACTTAACAGAACTTTTGCTGTGTTTTGTTTCAAGGTACTTGAAGAGAAGAGAAAAATTCAGTGTGGGTTGTAGCCTGGAAAGTAAACAGCTTTATTATATATAAGAAACCTGCCCTGGGACTGCACTTTAGGCCCTGGAAGATAGAAACTGAGGATTTTGGCTTGGTTGGGGTGGGGGGAGCTGTAAGTCAAATGGGCTGTATATGATAATATTTCTCCTGGGTTTTATGGGACTGACGCAACTTATGTTTTCAGAATATTTTCCTTAGCCTACTGGAATGTGGGGCTATGCCTTCTATTGACATTCGGTGAACTATTAAGCCTGTAGCATTGTCACAGGCTTGCTTGGCATGTGACAAGGTGTTTGCAGATTGAAGTAGTAGCAAAGCTGGAGTTTTAGCTTGATGAGATGTTTATTGCTTTAAGTCCTGTTATGTAAGTTGAGCAGTGATAATCTTGTTAGTTTTTGTTGGAGTCTGAGTGACACAAAGTGCTTGAGTGACTTTATTTGATGGTGGAGGCACTGAGAATGCTTAATGGAGCGTTCTGTTGTTTTAGAAGTAGAAAACATTACCTTCAGAGTCAGAAATTTTGAGTGTAATGCTGCTAGGCCTCTGTATTGACAGCTTTAAGCATCACTCCTGCTGAATGTAAAGGAAGACACACTATTTCTGTAGACTAAAGCAACAAATGTGAACTACTGTAAAGATTTCAGTAAAGAATAAGCCTTTTATGTCACTGAATTTGGAAAACTTAAAAATGAAGTAGCCTGTATATAAATTGTGTATTAGAACATGCTTCTGTGTCCATTTATAAGTGTTTAACTCTACTAAATGTTAAGAGATTTCGTATTTTGAGCTACTAGAATGACTTGCTCACTGTGATCACTCATAACATCATTAATCATGAATTAGGCCCAAATGTAGTATGATACTATTACATATTAAATTGCAGAAATGTATTTCAAATTGTGTATCTATATACATAAATGGCACCACCAGTTGCTGCTGTGAATGGACTGCCAGACATCTTTTGTGTTCTGGGCTGATTCTTATGACTTACTAGGGGAAGCTAATAAGTCATATAGCTATAATGAATAGCCATCTGTATTCTTTTTTTCGAGGAGAATTACATTTGGAATATTAAGGCGGCAGAATATACACGTGCATCTGCATTCAAAAAAAATCCAGGTTATTGCTGCTATGCCCTTAATTAAGAAACATCCTGTGTAAATGCAACTAGTACCTCACACGTTCATTTCTCAGACTTCTCATTTGTACCTGTCATCTGATTTCCTTTCTTTCTCCACCCCAGGAACAATAATTCTGTAAACAAATGTAAATGTTACCACTAATATCACTGGAAGGGGTGTCCAGTTATAAGTAATTTTGTGTATGCACAAGAACTTTCAGGTGAAGCCCTATGAACTTTAGTAGACAAATAATTGTGTGGTTTGTTAAGTTTCTGTGCAATTAACTACATACTGCTGTTGAAACAAAGTTCTAATTGATTTTTTTTTTCCATTTTAGTAATAATCGAATCACTGAGAGGCCTACCTCCAGTAAATGAGGAAAGTATAATTTTTAAAGAAGATCGGCAAGCAGCAGGAAAGGTGAGTGTAAAGCATAAAAACATGTTATTCTAATAAAAAATTCAAAGTATTCTTTTATTTTCCAGTAAGTATTGTTGAAGTTGACTAAATGAAATTCGGTTCCTTGATATGTAGTTTTGCTTTGTGGTTTTGACTCTTGTTATAGTCATCTGTGGTTTTTTTATCTCAGCAATTCCTTGCTTGGAATGCATTGGAACCTTACAGAATTGCAATGTGTGATGAGTTTCTGCTATTTTATGAGAGTGCTTGTGGAGAGGGAGAGGTTGCTTTCAGATATGTCTCAAATAACAGGCTATGCTGTTTTATTGCCAGGGGGCCAAGATAGGAGAAATTAGAGCCAAGTTTCAGGACAGATGGGGAATGTTTATATATCTAGGCTCTGCAGTTCCAGTTTAAGGCCAATGTGTGCTTTATGCAAGTATAATGAAGTGTGTTCGCTGAGAGGGGTGTTCATTGAATTTTGTTTGGTTTTTGGGAAAGGAAAGGCATCGTCTATAACAGTTACTACTATAATATCTTTGAATGCTAGATGTGAGTGAAACAAAACCTCAGCCTGAAATTGGAGATGTTTGGTACAACGTCTCAGAATTCTCTGCCCTCCTTGGAGTTGGGGAACAGGTAGGGCAGCTGATGTAAAGGTGTATTGTAAAGATGGACTTTGAGAAATAAATGATAAGGAGATTGTTCCAGGTTTAAGAGATTTGAAAACATAATAGAGAAGACTAGAGATTTGACAAAAGGAAAGATTGCTGAAGTAGAGGAAGCAGTCAGTGAGAGCAGTGCAGTTGGGTCGGTGAAGGTAACATCAACATGTCAGAGAACTTACTTTTCCACTTTATATCTTAAACAGTAGCTGAGGAAATACACTGTCAAACAAAATGTGGTAATAAAACCAAAGCATGAAAGTAACTTTATTTGATGCTGTATTTTGAAAATACATCAAACTTCTTAAACACAAAGCATCTTAACACTTCACGGTTGTCTGCTATGAAATTAGCTACCTACTCTTGGTGGTTTATTTAAACATTTTAATTTTGTTTGTGTTTCAGATATTTGAGATATTTGGTCCTGTTTTACATCCCTTTTATGTGTTAAGATTTAACAGCTCTGAGCATATCAAAGCCAAAGGTATTAATGTGCAAGATAGCATGTATTTTGCGCCATCAGTGGAGGACTTCACCCAGTATATATTTGCAGAGAAACTAAAACAGTGAGTCTGACTTCTTTTTGAATCTGGTTGTAATGTATTTTTTAAGTAGCTAAAAATACTGAATTAAAGTTTAGCCTTGAGTGAGAAACTGCAGGACTAAGCCTGACACTATAACTTTTCTATTTTTTAGATACTCTCAATGGTGTTGTACTAACAAGGTTGTGCTGTTTTGCCTTTCGGAACAGTACAGAGTAGCTGTAAGCTACAAGCTTCTAAAGTATTAGAATTACTAAAGTTTAGTAACTTCTTATTCAGTTTAAAATATTAAGCTTTCTTTCTTTTCATGTTCATATGTTACCTAAAATATCATAACCCCCAAAAAATTCATTGATACTTCCCTCCACCACACCCTCTCACACACATACATGGGTTTTGAAAGCTGAACTTTTCAGATTTTGAAATCTGAACAAGTTTTTTATTTATTTTGTTATTTTTATTTCATATTGCAAGGCCAGAACTGAAATTTAATTATCAACGGATTTATTGTGCAGTTGGAGAATAACAATTCTATATGAAAATTGCCTGCTGTAAATTTGGGAAAGGGGAGGGATTTGAGTGGCAATGTAGTGTTTGTGTAACCCCAGTCTGATTGAGAAAAGTAGCATGTATGAATAGGACTTGTTGCCATTTAAAAGGAAGTGTGCTTAACGACACAGAAAAAAAAAAAAAGCATAATAAATGACTGCTAGACATTAGTGTTCTAACTATTAATGAATAATTGTCTGAAATAGCTATGGGTTAAAAAGTCCTTTGTCATATAAGCGACTTAGTTTCTGTTTACTAGGATTATCTCTCAGCTGACCTACTGACTGTAGTCGGAAAAAATTTATAATATTGGTGTCTGCATTAATTGCAACTTTGTCAGTATTCCTACTGAATATATTTTTTTTTTTTTAGTCATGTATGTGTGGCCAGGCCTGCAGGAGTCTTTCCTCCTTCACCTTTTCCATCTCTGTGGAAGCAACAAACATATTTTTTTCCTTTTGGTGAAGACCAAAATAGATCACTTTCTCACTCTGCTGCTTGTTTGTTTTTCTGCAGCATTTTGATTGCCAGCTGGTCTTTGATTTGTGCCATTAAACTTTGTTGCTTAGCACAGTAACTGCACAGACTTTAATTATCTGCTTACCACATCAATAACTGTGTGCCGTACTCGGCATCTGAGACGTGAGACTCATGTTTTAGTTTATTACATGCTTTGCAACTAGTTTTGGGAACTATATTTGTCTTTTAGTAGTACTTTACTAGCATATGTGGTACAAAGTTGACCACTAGGTAAGATGTTTCACACTTTCATTACTTATCAGTGTAGCTGAACAGTACATCAGGGATTGTTTCTTGCTCTGCATTAAAATGACCAGTGTGAATGCCAGAACACCAATCTGATGTAAACCATATTTTCTGATTAATGTGACTGAAGCTGCATTTCACCAAAACAGTGTTTTATTTCTGAGTTTCCTGAGTAAAGGTTGTTAAGTTTTTGTGAGGCAATTGGTATTATTTGTTGAAGCTGTCTCTTCACAAAGTAGGTGTCATTAAAAAAGGTTAAAGAATTTTGATCTGTGCTGTAATGTCTATATAAATAAACCAAGGTGGCATGGATATAAGAAAAGTTGAGCTTTGGTCAGTGCTTCACAAGAAGGCTCTCGGACCTTAGAAGACTGCAAATTTGATGATTTGGTTAGTTCGAGTGTATACAGACCAGCTTGTGGAGTACTGTAGGCTTAAAGTTTTAGAACTGCTACTTAGAACTGCAGTGGTACTTTGAAGAGGAAAGGAATCAGAATTAAGATTTGAAATTTTATATTTAAAACAAAATAGAAGATGAAACCTAATGATCTAGCTAACACTGTACTAATAGAATTGTAAGCCGAGCTTAGAGGGTGTTTTGATTCTGAATTCTCTTCACTATAGATATGCTTAAAGCCTGTGTTCTACTAGGCTAATTCATTGTCCTTTTTAACTGGAGATACGTGTTCTGAAACCAGAAGAATGAGAAAGTTTATGACTGTAGTCAACAGTTAGTTGGCATAAAAAAGTTGCAGTGAAGTAGTTTAATTCAGGTTCAAAGCAATTTAGGTTCAAAAGTATGTGTTGAGAGAGTATTGATCAAAGCTTAATATAAGGTGCATGAAATGTTCAGTCTTCAAAGAAAGAAGATTTTTTGTACACATGTAGTGTGTAGACACATATAGTGAAGTTGTATTGACTTAGAAAGAACATTAAAAACCAAATGCCTCTTTCAAAACAGGCAGCTGCTGGTGTAAGAGATATGACACCTTGAGGAAAGTGTTACCGTATTTGCTACAGTACAGTTCTTGCAAATTACTTTTAGCTTGGAATATGTTGCTACTACATGACTCAAACAAGAGATGATTCATAGCCTCCTTACACCATCTTTCTTCATCTTGATTGTCTAATATGTGCGGTTTTGTTTTTTTTTTTCTTCTAGGGAAAAAGGCTCAGATGCGTCTTGGAAGAATGACCAAGAACCACCACCTGAGGTAACTATAGGGTTTATTTTTTGGTTTATTGTTTTTGATTACACAAGATATATGTAGAAGAATTTCTGTGCAGAGTAACTAATTAGCAAACTTACCTTTTGTGAAGACAAGAGTTGGATGTACCTCTTTCCTTCTTTGAAAAGGAGGTCATGCTCCTCTTGGAGAGGGCACAGCCAGTGTAGAGAGTACTAGCTGGTTTTTTTTCTTCTGCTTTTTGCAATTGGGAAAATGTATATCTTTATCTTCAGTTCCTCTAGTCCTTCAGGAATATGTTTGGCAACTTGAACGTTCCCACTTTGAGTAGCAGTGACTTGCCTAATAGTTTTGCTTCTGCTAGGGAATTTTTGTCCTCGCTGTACTTTGACTGCAGCTTTGTCTTTTACCTTGCCGCAAGCAGTTTTCTTGAAAGGTCTGTTAGTACTCTGCTAAATGTACTACTTGGGTGTTTAAGCTGTCTGCTCTGTTAGATTAACTTGACACCTCCTCCTCTGCTGCATTCTTTGAATGGTTTCTTAGTAAGATTTCCCTAACTGTTTGTTATTATAAAATACTAGATTCATGAGAGGAGGTGAGCTTCTTCCATAAAGGCAAGGCATAGGATCATGTAGAACTGAGAGCTTCTCATGACCATTGACATCACTTATGGAATCTGTAACGATTTCTTCAGTGACAGCCAGGCTTTCTGTCCAGTGCTCCATAACTCTTAACTATTCTTTTCATGACTATTTTCTTTTTCAATGAGAATCACAAGGCCGATAGTTTTATTGAGGTGTTATGAGACTTGTTTTCTAACTCAACACTTAAGTCACTTTTCCTTGCAATTTCTGCTTTAAGCTTATCTTAATCCAAAATAGCTGAAATTCCTAGAAGCCTTGTGTCTACCATAGTATCCTAGAGAGATCTCTCTGTCTGCTTGTTTTGAATCTTCCAAAAGCTTGCATAGTTAGCATAATTATAAAGTATGTAATATGGGCTTCTTACTCTATAATTAAGTAGGAAAGGTGTTTTTGTGGATTTTTAGTGTTGTTGTAACGATTTTTTAGAAAAGAATAGACTATTTCAGTTGGAAGGAGCCTGCAGTGATCATCTAGTCCAACTGCCTGACCAATTTAGGACTGACCAAGAACTAAAGCATGGTATTAAGGGCATTGTCCAAATGCCCCTTAAACACTGACAGGTTTGGGACATTGACCATCTCTCTAGGAAGCCTGTTCCAGTGTTCAACCATGCTCTTGGCAAATAAATGCTTCCTAGCGTCCAGTCTAAATGTCCGCTGGTGCAGTTTGGAACATTCCCATGCATCCTATCACTGGATACCAGGGAGAAGAGCTCAGCACCTCCCTCTCCACTTCCCCTGCTCAGGAAGCTGTAGAGAGCAATGATGTCACTCCTCAGCCTCCTTTTCTCCAAACTAGATAGGCCCAAAGTCTGCTCCTCAGGACATTCCTTCCAGCCCTGTCACCACCTTTCTTGCCGTCCTCTGGACTCATTCAAGGACTTCCACATCCTTCTTAAATTGTGGGGTCCAGAACTGCACACAGTACTCAAGATGAGGCCACACCAATGCTGAGTAGAACAGGATAATCACCTCTTCTGACCACTTGGTCATGCTGTGTTTGATGCGCCCCAGTATTCAGTTTACCCTCTTGGCTGCCAGGGCACACTGCTGACTTGTACTGAGCCTGCTGTTGACCAGCACCCCCAGATCCCTTTCTGCAGGGCTGCTCTCCAGCCATCCCTCTCCCAATTTATACTTGTGCCCAGGTTCCTCCCTCCTAGGTGCAGAATGCAGCATTTCGACTTGTTAAAATTCATCCCGTTAATCGTTGCCCAGTGTTTCAATCTATCTAGATCCCTCTGCAAGGCCTCTTGTCCCTCAAGAGAGTCAACAGCACCTCCCAGTATAGTATCATCAGCAAATTTGGTAATGGTGCAACTCCTGCATCCAGATCGTTGATAAGTATTTTAAACAAAACTGGCCCTAGAATTGAACCCTGAGGGATACTGCTGGTGACTACTTGCCAGCCAGATGTAGCTCCGGGGATTCACTACAGCCCTTTGAGCTCTGCCCTTCAGCCAGTTCTTCACCCAGCACATGGGGAACCTACTTGTCCCACAGGTGGACAACTTGTTTAGAAGGGTGCTGTGAGGACATCATGCTGGGAGGGACAGTATTAATTTTTGCATTCAGAGTCCTTATCCCAGGCCAGTTGTTCTGGCTTGAAGGAGGAATGTTGTGACATGGACTTTACTATGCTTGAAGGTAGATCCTGTAATGATGTATCAGTCTGTCAACCTAGAACATTGCTTCTTCCACTATGATGAAGATGATGCATTTTGAAATAACTTTTTTCTTCCCACAAACGGAACTGAGCTGAGCAATCTTAACTTCACTCAAAGAATGTTTGTCTGTCAGTTCTGACTGTAAATTGCCTTCCTTTCCTGGGGAGACGACATCTCACACAGAATGATCATTTGAGAATTAGAAGTGTTGCACAGAATTGGACAGTAGGTATGTGATCAGTAGAGCTTTGAAAGATTGTGTGTACTTAGAAACATGGCTAGTCTTAGCTTTCTTTCATCAAACAGTTTTCTAGTGATGATGATACAAAATGTGCTTATTGGCTGATGGCGAGCTCTTTTTTTGTTTCTTAGTCATATTTTTAAAGTTGTTCAGATGAGCTTGTAAATGTGTAATTTGAATTTATATGAACCTAAGTAACTTTAAAATTTGTCTAAAAACAGTCAAGCAGTCAAGTCTTCTGCAGATACAGATTCATTGCTTTTTCCAAAGTTGGTATTTCTTTTCTTATGATTTTTCTTAGTTTTAATTGTGATACTATTACCTTCAGGTTATAATCTGAAAGTGCTGGGCAACTTTAGGTTTACTGTACTTCTCTATAGGAAGGAAGCCTGAACAAAATCAGTGATGGCAAGGATGGGCAAACTTGGTTGCTTTTTATGACACCTGTGTTTCTGTGGCTGTTTTGATTTTGGTATGTCTGTGTGCTCTGTTTTGGAGAAAACATTGTATCTAACATCTTGTTATCCTTAATTAGAATAATCTTTGGATAGTTCTAGCAGCTACAGTTTACACGAAGATACCCAAACTGTGACAGCTGATGAGCTGATAGAAAGTAGCTTTTGCTGTGAAGGTAATAGCTGTTGACAAGGGTGCAGATTAAATTTAATGCTACTGATGCTTGAAATTGTCTCTTACAGCCAGACTCTTTTAGAGCCCTCAGCTGGCAGCTGATTCTGTAACTTTTCTGGCCAGCTGCCGTGCTAAACTGCATGGAATTGCTGGAGTCAGTTCTTTTGTGATACTGTGAAGCTTTATTTTTGTATGTACATTAAATTAATCCATGTTAGGCCTTTTATGCTTGCTACTTTAAGGTATATGGTAAGTGTTCCTTTTCTGACAGGTTTCTAATTAGCTCAGCTTCACTGTAGACTCAGTAATACAGCCTCTCTTGGCCTTGTCTTTGGGGTCATAGGATGACAAAGTGTGATCTGTATGCTGCAAGGCTAACAGGAGCAGATAAATGTAATTTCTCCATGAGGCAGCTTTTATGGAATGTTGCATGGAAATTAGCTAGCACGAGAAGGTACCTGGTTTTTGTTATTTCTGCTCTACTGGAGGATGGCCTATTAAAGTGCTTAGAAAAAGCAGGAGTTAGTGAAAGATTTTACTTCATATATATATATATCATTTTGTTTTCCTTGTGGCTTTTTTTGAGTAAGAATATAGTCTAGTTATGTAAAAGAGGAAAAAATTGTATTCAGAATTAACTTTTAAGTGGCATTTCTAGCACTGTTCTAGTGCAGTGTTTTTGAGATTCATGCTCTGTATATACATCCTGTACAGATAAATAAGCAGCAAACACCTTTCTTTTAGAATTGGGAGGATGAGGGTGGGAACAAACCTTTAAGTGATAGAAGTGAGCTGTTTTTCAGGGAATTAATTATACTGATTTCTTTCCTGTCACTAACAACTTTTCCTCATTCTAAATGTAAGCTAGGATTCAAAAGGTAGCAAAAACTTGCGTAACAGGAACAAAATATTGCAGTGTATTGTTGCATCTGTTAATGACATTTTCCAAAGCTGAAAATTCCTTTGGAATAACATTGCTATTGGAATTTTAATGGGAACAGTGTTATTAAATATACTACAGAGTTGCAATTTAGCGACAATTCTGGACTAGAGGTACTTTTTTTAATGTAGTTTAGTTATGCTGAGTTAATTACTGATTTCCAAATTAATTTTAACTTACTTTAAAAATCCGTATTTTAATTCACCTAGTTTGCAGTTTGCCCTTCAAAAGCTTTTTCTTGGCAATAGCTAGCCAGCTTCCTCAGAGTTTCCCAATTTTTTTTCTTGCTAACATCTAGGCAATCAAAAATTTGTGTTCAGTACTTGGATGTTGTTGTTTTTAGGAAAATTAGAAGGAATACCTGAGTATTGTGTAATTGTCATGAGTAATTTGTGGAGTGGTAAGTATTTGATCGTGTTGAGAAGCCAGCTGACGGCTCTTTGAATGCAAAAGAGGAAAGTGCAGCTTGAATATTCTTCCAAGCTGATGGCAGGATGTATTGTTTTCTAAATAATGACTTATTGCTAGAACTGAAGTTCTCTATGCAGTCCTTATATATTCTCCTTTTTTTTTTTTAATTTAAATAATAAATTTCCTGCTGCTTCCTGTGCTGCTTACATATGAGGTTGCTTCAACTGCCTGCAGCACAGTGCTTCCCCCCAGTCAGCTTGGACTGACTCCTTCCATGAGTTTGCTGCTCTTCTGGGGTACGTTGTGCCCCACTGAACCCCTTTTTGCTTGATCTAAGAAGTCAGTAACTGTCCTATTTACCATTCTGCTCTGTGTGCAGTACATCCCTCCCTTGTACCCTTTAAATAAAGGGGATTGTGCTCTGTTTCTTTTTTTTTAACCAGGCCTTGGATTTCAGTGATGATGAAAAAGAGAGAGAGGCAAAGCAGAAGAAAAAGAAGCCTCAAAATCAAGGAAGGAAGAAACTCAAATCAGAAACAAATGTATCAGGTGAGTGATTGCTATGGGAGAATGCTTTTATCTGGTAAACTGAGTTTGAAATAGACAATGATATCTATCTTAATGATTCAGTTTTCATCCAGTTAATCAGTATTTTGCTGCTTTTCAAAATTATATTAATGAATTTGTGGCTATCTTCCTTAATTTTTTTCAAAGACAAATGAAGGGTTTTTCCATTGAACTGTGGAAGGGAAGTTAATATAAGAGCAGGACAGTTGTCATAGGAAATTCAAAAACTCTTATGACAGTGTCAGCTGACATGCAGTGAGGATATAGAACAGATGCCAACTTTTGGAGTCTGAGCTTGCTTATTGCATGGGTTATTGGGGTTCAGGTTAAGCCTTTGAGTGCAGGGAAAAGATAGAAGAAGGCCGTGTGCAATTTTTGGAAACCTATTTTTTTGACAATCAGGGAGAAGACACAAGCCATAGATGGAGAATTTATTCTTCTATCTGAAAAGGAGGTGGTTCTTCACTCATGTCATATAAATACTCCTTTAAACAACTGTTTCTTGCGTAGCCCACTGAGAACCTCTCTGTTCACTTGACACAGTCATTAGATAAACAAACCTACGGTAGTTCAATAAACTGTATAGTTTTTCATTATATACATAGCCTTCGCTTTCCTTTCTTCTGCTGTTGACAGATCTGTTCAGGTGTATGTTTGCAGATCTGCTCTGTTTGCAGTAACCAGATTTTCCTATCTGTCTTTTCTCATGCCTTTCCACTGACCAGACTTTTTACATTTTGGCTGAATAATTTAAATCATATCCCTGTTTTTCTGTTCTCACTGGTCTGCTTCTGTTGCGTGCTTTTTGTACCACTCTTTAAATACTACTGACTCTGATCCCTTCCCCTCTTCCTCTGCTACTTATATACAAGGTCGTTTCAACTGCCTGCAGCACAGTGCTTCCCCCCAGTCAGCTTGGACTGACTCCTTCCATGAGTTTGCTGCTCTTCTGGGGTACGTTGTGCCCCACTGAACCCCTTTTTTCTTGATCTAGGATGTCAGTAACTGTCCTGTTTACCATTTTACTCTGCAGTACATCCCTCCCTTGTACCCTTTAAATAAAGCTGAGATCTTTCTTGGACTGGTTTTTACCCTCTAGTTTTGGCATTTTTCCCTTAAGGGAAGGATCTCAATCATGCCATATTTTCCCTTCATTGCTGATGGTTATTTTCTCTCCCGGTTTCTGCTCATCTAGCATACGGTATGTTTTCCACCATATCCTTATTCTGCCAGCTTATTGCAGACCTGCCTTTGCCTAGGGCTTGCTGAGGCTGTTACTGAACTGTGATCCATAACTGAGAACACAACAGCAGGAACTGTCTCAATCTGTCAAGGGAGTATGGGTTATGAATTGCTGTGGTTTTCTGTAAATAACATGGTGTAAATTGACACTGTGTGCAGTTTAGTTTGGCTGTGGAATTTAACAACAAGGATATCTGGCAAATTGAGGCACAAACTTGGTCTCAGCTGGAGTTTTGCTTGGTTGCATCTTCATAAAACTCTCAGTATGTTAAAATTGGCTTATTGTTACAGTCTTTGATAGGAGAAAAAAGAACAAAAGTATTCACTCGGGTACTTTCATTTCAGTGCTTCCGAGAGAACTGTGTGCACCAAAGGAGTCTAAGTCATAATCCCCCATGAAAATAAGTAGGAATTTTGGTATACAACTACCTTTCCAGACTTAGCTTTTAAAAGATGAAAATGTTTCTGCGTAGTCTGGTCCCAAGGATTAGGTCCACACAGGTACTAGTCAGTGGTTTTATGCAGTGTTATGCCCCTAAGTACCTTTTTGCTTCTAGCCCTAAAGTCCTTTAGAGATCATATTTTGGTTTAAATTTTACAGTCTATTGAATCTGAGCAGCTCATTGCAATATTTTTAATATTTCAGTGATCTTAATTTTATAGCACTTATCCCATTAATACTCTTATTTATATAAAAAGTGGCAGTATATTTGTCATGAACCTTAAATACATGCTTACAGTGACCTGTACAGGATAAAATTCATTCTTGAAAGATGAATGATGAAAGCTAATGGGCTACAGGTACAGACTGCCTTTTTTCTGCTAGAGTAAGTTAATTTTATTAATTTGAGTTTGAATAATTTCTTCTGTCCCGTAATAATTTGAATAATTGAATAATTTCTTCTGTGCTGTAATAGCAACTCAGGACTGAAAGCTGTATACCACTTCAGTGTAATGCAATGTTGATTTATCTCCATTTTTAAATTGTGTTGCTTTTAAATCTTGTTTTAAACCAAAGCTTCCAAAATACTCACAGTTTGACTGTTCCTGTGATTCATTAACACAAATGAAAATGCCTGGAGGGGAGGAAAGTGAAATTTCTTTTTTAATGACTGAATTTGCAACCCTCAGGATCATTCTTCCTATATTACTCTAATAAATCAAGATGAGTTACTAAACAGTAGACTTGCCAGTGTATTTTGTTGACTATGTATTATTTGCCAGTATTATTTTTTGAAATGTCTTTGGCTTCACCTTGAAAGATTTGTGAGGGCTAAACTTAATCTTTCCAAAATAATATTAAAATTATGTGTATTTTCATTTATTTTTGTTGTTTTTGTTTGTGTGGTTTTTTTTTTTAAGGTGAGAGTAAAGGACTTCATCAGTCAATGCAACAGCCTGCTTCAAGTTATTCAAGGGGATACCGTGGCAGAGGATTCTCCAGGGATCCATTTCCTCCTCCATCGGGCCCTCCAGGTTTTTTGAGACCACAAGTCAGACCACCACAGCTGTACTCTTCAGACAACAGAATCCATCAGGAATCTCCAGTGTTTCCACAACCTCATAGAAAAGAAAATCCAATGATGCAACAGTATCCCTTTCCTCCTCCAGTTTTTGGCTCTGTTAATGAGATGCATCAATTCCACCTTCCACCTTCAAATCCGAATATGATTTGGGCAGGCCCGAACATGTACAACTCCTCATACCCATTTTTGCCACCGCCACCTCCGCCGCCTCCACCTCCTCCAGATAGCCATCCTTCTCAGTTCAGGCCTTACTAATTTTCCATAAGTGTGCATACAGAGCATGGCAGTTCAAAGGGAGGAAGAACAGGCTACTAAGACTGCATTCCCTTATTTTGGAGATGCTCCATTTTTCTGCAACAATAGAACAAGTGGTTTCATTGTCTGTGGGACATCCATAAAATTTTTACTATATATATGTTTTCTGTTTCAAAGAAAGAAAACTGTATGATAAAAGTGACTGAATACTAAATAATGGCTTATTTTTATAATATCTACTATTTTGAGATGATAAAAACTTTTTGGAGACTGGTATGTAGTGGCGGAAATCTATTTTGTAATAAATTTAATAATGCAACTACTGTCAAATAGTGATATGTCACATAGTTGGTATTTTAATATTTGTAGGGTGGTTGTATATCGCTATGCTAAACCATTCTCAATTTCTGCAAATTTTGAAATCTACTTGCATGGAAACTAAAAATCTGGCACCTAAACTTTAACTAAGTTTGCCACTGTATTTATAAGGTATAAACTCCTGTTATCCAACTTTTAATATTTCATTAATTTCATATTAACTAAAAGGCAAGCGGGATGGTCTGTCTTTAAGTAGCTAGATCGGAATTTGGATCAGCAACTTAATTACTGTGTCAGATTTAATGTCCTACAATAGCTATAGAAGATCAACTTATCGATTAGATATTTTGCAATTTGGGTGTAAAACTGTGTGGTATGGGGAAATTAAAACCAGCATAACTTCTCTAGCTTACCATTGCTCCTAGTACAGAAATGCCCATAGATAACACAGTACTTACTCAGCCTTTCTAGGAAGAAGTCATCAGACCAGTCAGGGAGAGAAAGTATTGCATTTCAGAACTCCCTTGTTTCAATTTGTATCTAAGATGCAGATAGTACCAGATTGCTGTTTGATTATCATCAAAACTGTCTCTCTTGAAATGATGAAGTCATCAGCTCTCCCAGCTTTTTTCTAGGAAGGGGAGTGGAATTGTCAACCAAAGCCAGCCTGGAACAACCTCCACCTGTCCAAAGGGTCAGTGGCTCTGACTAACTAGAATGGAAACCCCAACACTGCATGAATATTTTCTAAAAAGTCTTCAAAAAATTGTGGAACAGAGACATCTTAAAGATGATTTTTGCACTGAAAGATCATTAGTAGCTGTATTAATTTTTGAATCCTTAACAATACAGTTACTTTGAACCATTGAACAGACCTGATAGAAGTATGCAGTACATATTTCTGTTCTGAAACTCATATTGACCTTATTACTTTGGCTATATATTTAAATTTTAATTAATTTTAATTTTAATTAAGCTCTGCAGGTGTTGTGCAGACTTTTAGTTCCACATAACTTAAGAATGAAGCAAAAATTTAATGCACAGACGGAAGGGGGACTGTCTTGTCAAGAAGTTGCTACTGTGAATTAGAGTTGAATTTTAGACTTCTAAAGTTTCCTGTAGTATACTTAATTAATAATTCTATTCTTTACTATATCTAAAAGTACGATTTCATAGCCATGTGCAACTGAGAAGGCTGTATCGATCTCAAATTTTATGGCAAAGAGGTACTGTACAGTGGCAACAAAATGTTTCAGGACAATAGCAATCCAGACATTAATGTTTAATTTAATTCTTACAGATTTATGGGTTTTTTGGTAGTAAAAAGAATGTCCAAGCCTAGCCTGTTGTAAATGCTTACATTCTGGGGGAGAGGACAAGGGGGTGAATTTCTGGCTATCTTAAGGTGTAGCCTGGCTGTTACCATTGCTAGTGATAGGTCACAAGCATGAGTAAACACCATAGAGCCTCATGACTGAGGATCTGCTTTATCTGAGCTTCCCTTCACTCACCTGGAGCTGTCTTTCACTTGGTTTGGCTACAACAACAATTTATTTAATGACCAGGTAGGTATGATTAATTAATTTTACATGTACTTTTTTTTTTTTCCCCTCTGGTATACACATAGTTTTTTTACATAGATGACAGTGGTAAGTATTCATTCTGTGTAGAATGGTATATTTATGTGTTTAATGGAATAAGATAGAGTAGAGGAATAGAGACCTGAGGGAAGCGGCAGTGCAGGATGCAGTATAGAGGAGCACCTGGGGTGTCAAGGCATGGGGCAGGGCTGGCACTGGAAACCTGGGTTGCAAACTGCTCCCCAGTGGTCAGCTGAAGAAATGCTATCCTGGCTCTAAACAAAACCCTTTTTGAGTAGAATGGAGAGAAAAAATATGTAACGCATGTAAAATGCATCATATGAAGTAAAATGAGATATAATTGTGAACGTGCCGACATGAAAACAGGGCAAGATGTTGCAAGTATGTTGTCAATCATAAAAGTGATCCCAAGCCAATTTATGGGGTAAGGAGAAAGAAACTGTCGAGGTCGTACTCGGACCTGGGATGCTGATGAGATGCTGTATGTCCCCAGCACCAAGGGATGCCATCAGCCTGGAGGTCCAGAGGGGCAGCGGGAGGGTAAGCATAACGCCAGGAAAAGGAGTCAGGCAATAGGAAGTGTAGGTACAACAATTGTAACTGTTACTACTGTTGAGACCCTTTCATCTGTAATGTTGACTTTTCATTTCGTAATTACATCTGGACTAATAATAATTCTGTGATTAGGCTGCTAAGCTTTAAGTTATACTCAGGTGTAGCTGCTATGCCCATAACGACGAGTGTGTAACAAAACCTGACATACAGGTTACGGAGTGTAGTTTGACAGAAATTTATTATGGTCTAAGATATCTTATTAATGCTTGGTTTTGTGTGCACTTGCTTTTATGTCAAAACAAATTTTGCCGGTGTTCTGCATTTAGTGAGTACAGGTCACGCTTGCAGAACTTTGCTTGGAATCGAATTTAGTTCTTTATTACCACAAAAAATACGTTGAGGTGCTGGAGCGGGCCCAGAGAAGGCACTGAATTTGGTGAGGGGTCGGGAGAGTAAGTCATGTGAGGAAAAGCTGAGGGAGCTGGGGTTGTTCAGCCTTCAGAACAGGAGGCTAAGAGGAGACCTTATTACTACCTGAAAGGAGGTTGTAGAGAGGTGAGAGTTGGTCTCCCAAGTCACAGGTGATAGGAGAGATGCTGTCAGACCCTGGTTCGGTGTGCTGGACGCTTGCTGTTGAGAAAGCAGTAGAAACTTGCAGTAATTCAGGGAGTTTAGAACCTGAGAGGTGTGTTTGCAAGTTTGGGGAAGGACAATAACTGGGTACGCTTGATAGAAAAAGGAATGTCATGGAAATGCTTCTTTTTGTGTTTTGTATCTTTAACTCTTTGAAAAATGTCCTGCTCTTTGTCAACAGGCCTTTAAAAGCCTTAACTGTAAAGCTTGGAAAACAGTACTCGGCACTGGTGAGGCCTCACCTTGAGTACTGTGTTCAGTTTTGGGCCCCTCACTACAAAAAGGACATTGAGCTGCTGGAGCATGTCCAGAGGAGAGCCACCAAGCTGGTGAGGGGCCTGGAGAACAAGTCCTATGAGGAGAGGCTGAGGGAACTGGGCATGTTTAGTTGAGAAGAGGAGGCTGAGGGGAGACCTCATTGCCCTCTACAACTACCTGAAAGGAGGTTGTAGAGAGATGGGTGTTGGCCTCTTCTCCGAAGTGAAAAATGACAGGACTAGAGGAAATAGCCTGAAGTTGCGGCAGGGGAGGTTTAGATTAGATCTTAGGAAGAATTACTTTACTGAGAGAGTGGTCAGGCACTGGAACAGCCTGCCCAGGGAGGTGGTGGAGTCACCATCCCTGGAGGTATTTAAGAAACCTGTAGATGTGGCTCTTCAGGGCGTGCTCTAGTGACTGAGATTGTTGGCTGTGGTGATGGGGTGTTGTTTTTTTTGGTGTGGGGTTTTATTGTTTGTTTGTTTTTTATGGTTGGACTTGATCTCAGAGGTCCCTTCCAACCATGAAGATTCTGTGATTCTGTAATTTAACAGCAAGCACAGCTAGTTTTGTTTGGCCTCAGTTGTTTTTATGTCAGGCTGTTTTCTAGAAATCTATGTTACCCTGTTACTGTGTTACATTAAACACGTTACTACATTAAAGTGTCAGAGCAGTATGCTATAACAGGATTACAGTAACTCGCCTGCTGAACTGCACTCTTTTGAGTGGGACACCCATTCAGTCACAGACACAACAGGGATAGAGCCTTGGCAAATGAAGCACTTTAAGACATCTTCCTTTTTTTCCGTCTCAGGAAATTGAACGGTAATGCACACCAGCTCAATTCTTGATCAGTGCTACATAGGAGCAGGTTGAGTTTTTTAATCTGAAATAATTTGGTGTGTAAGGCACCCTCTCTAGAGACAGTCCAGATTGAAAAAGCCAGCCAGTCAGAAAATAGAAGCCATGAAATGTGAATTGTTCAGACATCAGGTCCTCAACATGATCACATCTACAGATCTGCTCCAGCAGGTCCATGCTACTTGCTAATGTAGATGCAATTTTAATGTTCAGCATGTGCTGCAATAAACCTTATTTTTTGTAGATACTAGTTAGGCATTAGTGTAGTTAATGTTTCTAATTTGGACACACAAAGACAGAAGGGCATAAAAATCTCTGTTCTTTCTGACTATTTATAGCATCCAATCCTGAAGCCAGTTGAAAATATCAGCAAACACCTGTTTGCTAGGAATTTCACAATGACCTAGGTCTCACCAGTTGGCAGGTTGCTGAATTAGTACACTGATATCAGAAAAGGTGATGAAGCCAATGTTTTATTGCACAAAATCTTTGGAATATATCTGATATGTTTAAAAGTGAACACAACCATCTGACTTCCCCCTCTTACTCCCACCTCCAAAAAAAAAAAAAAAAAAAACAAA